TTCAGTGTGTTGAGGTCCACCTGGCCCACACCAATGGCAAAGATCAGGATGCCTGTGTCCCGTGCCTTTGCAGCCACCTCGGTCACTGAGTCCTGTGGCCTCCCATCCGTCACGATCATTATGACCCGCAGCACGTTCTCCCTCAGGGGCCGGGCCCCCTCTGCTTCTGAGAAAGCAATGTTGAGGGCATACTGGATGGCCAGCCCTGTCATGGTGCCCGTGGACAGGTGCCTCATCCTCTTGACGGCACGCTCCACCTCGGACTTCCTCTTGAAGGTCTTGAGGGAGAACTCATTCTTGACAGTGCTGCCATACTGGAGCAGGCCCACTCGGGTGATGTCAGGGCCAATGTCCAAGAACTGCAAAATGTCCACAATGAATTCCTTGACCTTGGCATAGTCGTGGGTGTTGACGCTGCGGGAGCTGTCAATGATGAAGACCAGGTCTGCCCGCTTATTCTCACAGGAGCTCTCTGGAGAAAGAGGAGAGGTCAAACACATTAGAAGAGTGTTAAGGGCTCAGTGCAGGTTGGCTGTTGTTGGAAATCCTAGGGCTGGGAAATCACCTTTCAAACCTCCAATCTTCGTTGGTTTTTCTTCACCACTTGAGAAAGTTGTAAGGGAATATATGTGCATGACTGAGGAATCATGAGTATTGGCTATAAACAAATATTCTTTCTTTTCTCAAGATAAAGGAACACTTTAGTTTCTAGAAGTCATCAGTACAGTTTTTAGGTGGGCAAATACCTGATCAGGGTCCAAATGACTTCATTATTTAGTGTATGCCAATAAGTCTGCCTGGATACTGCAGGGAATATGGAAGAAGTTTAGGATAGTGATCAATATCAAGGAGTTTACCATCTATCTGGGAGACTTAACTAATGGAACAAATGAAAGAAGAGCTAGTGTGAAACGGTATGGTGTTGACACTAGATGTGCAGAGAACAAGGATATTAGTGGGCTGAGGTTAAGAAGATAGGACATGAGCTAGCCTTATGGATGCATAGTGTTTGCATTGAGAGAAGGCACAGACGGAGAGAGACACATAAACAAAAGCCCAAGATGGCATGAATATGGCAGATAATAAAATAAGCGCTGGAGGAACTGCTAAGTGTCGCAGGTAGGACTTAAAATGGAGCCAGTCATAAAAGACCTTTAAATTTAGACTGAAAAATGTGTATATGATGCCACAAGTGATGGGCATAATATGATTAGCATCATATTATACATATTATCTAACATATCTTTTGTAGGGAAGTTACGTAATAAAAAGTCAATTGAGTGTGGTAGTGGTTTGCAAGAGGGGGTGATCCAGACCATTGTTGCATTAATCTGGTTGAGAGAGGGACTCAGTCTCAATCAAGGCAGTGGTGGAAATGAAGTAGAAGGAACCTGGCTAAGAAATATTTCAACAAAGGACACAGTTAGAACGGAAAAAGCAAGTGTTAAGTCTCTCCCTTACTACCATAACTGCCATGTTTATTCCTTAAGCACCCAAACAGGAAGGCTATAAGAAGTTTGCATTCATGGATGAAAACGCATTACATTCTGGGAAAAGGATAATATTGGATGAGAGGCCTCCCCCCTCAGGGAAGTTGGCATTCTTGCTGGAATTTCTCAGATGTTCTGAGCTACAGCATCCAACCAGGGAGAGTCCCTCCTCCCCTTTCCAGACTTTGCAGTTAAATCTTCTTTTGATACGGATTAGAAAAGGGATCCTAAATGCTTGCCCTAAATCCCAATCACCACAGCTGCAAGAAAGAGAAAGCCAAAAATGAAACAGTGAACCCAGTCATTAAAATGAGAAGAAAGGCCCATGAGGTCATCCTGCCCAGGCCAGCTTGCCAGGCCATGACTCGCCCTTGAGTGCCTGCACACACACCTCATCCACTGCAACCTCACAAATATAACGATTTTAAGGGAGAACGCACCCCACGCACCACTATCCTGACAGGAAACCAACCTTCTGCCACACTCACATATAACACTGGGAGCTGAGTGAGTTTAAGGTGAGTTTCTCAAACCAGAGGCCCCAGAAACTGCCTTTGAGAACTCTAGGATAAGATCAATATAAAATCTGACATTTGTAAGACGTTTTGAAATCTCTTTTCCAGAGGGTTTTTATCACTATGATCTCATTTGATTTTCAGAGAAAGCACTTGAAAAGAGAGCTAGGTATATCACACCCATTGGTTAGATGACAAAATGAAGGTGCTTAGAGTTTGAAAATCTCTTATAATTTAGAAAAAGAAAAATTATGTGGAGACAAGAGTAACACCCCCCCTCACTGGGTAGTTATAAGAATTTAAGGAACAATTCAACCCAGCCCTGAGCCCCAGGGGCTGTGTCCACCCTGACAGGCACCTGGAGGGGGAGGGGGGTGCCTTTTTCTAATTTTCATAAAGGTGCCTATGGTCTAGCACATGGCCCTGGGTT